TAAACAAAATCGGTCGAAAATATATATTGGAGGAATATTCAAATCTGAACCGATTAAAATTTCATTGGAATTGAACATATATATCATGTTTGTTGCCTCAAATAAACAAAATCGGTCGAAAATATATTCTGAACCGATTTCAATATAATTGGGCAATTGTATGATCGTTTTAGATCCCGTTACACATTCAAAATTTCATTGAAATTAGAGATACATTGCGTGTTTGGTGCAACCTATATTCGGTATTTTGATGATTTTAGCGACGTTATTCACCGGAATTGTTTCAAATTTGGTATTTGAAGTTCCAAATGGATACTACACCCTAAGATAGAAAATTGTCTGTGCAAGTCTATGTCTTCGTATAGCCCCCATATAACGGTACCTCCCGATATTCGGTATTTCGATGATTTTAGCGACATTATTCACGGGAATTGTTTCAAATCTGGTATTTGAAGTTCCAAATGGATACTACACCCTAAGACAGAAAATTGTCTTTGCAGGTCCACGTCCTCGTATAGCCCCAATATAACAGTACCTCCCGATATTCGGTATTTTGATGATTTTAGCGACATTATTCATTGGAATTGTTTAAAATTTGATATTTGAAGTTCGTTATGGGAACTACAGTCTGTGACAGAAAATTGTCGGTGCGGGTCCAGTTTCGAATTTGAATATGGTAATGGCTTATGACAAACAATGCATATGTATGTCCACGTCGTATAGACCCCAACATAACGGCTATATTCGGTATTTTTAAAATTTTAACAGAATTTTTTAAGGATTTTATTTTTTGAAAATTTCCAAATTCGTTGTAAATGGTGGAGGGTATTACTAGTTCGGCCCGGCCGAACTTACTGCTTTTTAACTTGTTTTTTTTTCTTACTTTTCTTTTGATCCAACAGTCAAGCATACAACCTAGCTACACAATCATCATAACATACATATGTTGTGACGTACATACAAAACATTTGTAATGCATGTTCTTGAATAGTGGGTTTTGTGCTTTGCTAAAGGTTCCTTAGTAATATTTAGCAATGCTAAGCTATTAGGTTTAAGCGTATTGCTCAAGTCCGTATACAAATATTTAGCAACATTGTTGACCAATGAGAGAAGAAAACATCTAAGATAGAACTTATTAACATATCACTCTTCGACAAACTGCTGTTCTCTGTGAAAGGCCTTTCATCGTGGGAGCGACGGTATTAAACACACAAACAAACAGTGAGTACTTGAACATCTCTTTGTTTGCATACTCTTAAATATTTTGTTATTGGTCAACAATATATGCATAAACATTTTGAATTTTTGTTTAATAGTATCTAAGCTTGAATACTTCAATGATTTTAATTTTTCCTTTTTTTTGATCACCTTATTTTTCTCTTTGGTTATCAAGTGAAATATATATGAATTTTTCGTTATTTCATCTGATATCTTTTTTATACCCTCCACCTTGGAAAGGAGGGTATATTAACTTTGTCATTCCGTTTGTAACATCCCTAAATATTCGTTTTAGACCCCATAAAGTATATATATTCATAATCAGCATAAAATTCTAAGTCGATTTAACGATGTCCGTCTGTCTGTCTGTCTGTCTGTCTGTCCGTCTGTCTGTCTGTCTGTCTGTCTGTCCGTCTGTCTGTCTGTCTGTTGAAATCACGATACAGCCCACATTATTTGACGTAGAGCTCCAAAATTTAGCAGAGCTATTTGCATTGTGTCTACGATGGTTGGTATTGAAAATGAGATATATCGGTCCACGTTCTGGTATAGTCCCCATATAACGGTACCTCCCGATATTCGGTATTTTGATGATTTATGCCACATTTTTTCACGGATTTGTCTTAAAATTGGTATTTGTAGGTCATAGCGGGTCCCTGAGCGTGTGGCAAAACATTGAATGTATAGGTCCACGTTGTGGTATAGCCCCCATATAAAGGTACCTCCCGATATTTAGTATTTTAGTTTTTTTTTACCACATTTTTTCAACGATTTGTCTAAAAATTGGAATTTGTGGGTCATAATGGTTTCCAGCTCCGGTGGCGGAACATTGAATGTATGGGTCCATAATTTGGTATAGTCCCCATATAACGGTACCTCCCGATATTCGGTATTTTGATGATTTATGCCACATTTTTTCACGGATTTGTCTTAAAATTGGTATTTGTAGGTCATAGCGGGTCTCTGAGCGTGTGGCAAAACATTGCATGTATAGGTCCACGTTGTGGTATAGCCCCCATATAAAGGTACCTCCCGATATTTAGTATTTTAATTTTTTTTACCACATTTTTCACGGATTTGTCTGAAAATCGGTATTTGTTGGTCATAATGGGTTCCAGCTCCGGTGGCGAAACATTGTAATTATAGGTCCACGTTTTGGTATAGCCCCCATATAACGGTACCTCCCGATATTCGGTAATTTGATGATTTTTGCCACATTTTTTCAGGGATTTGTTCGAAAATTGGTATTTGTTGGTCATAATTGGTTCCAGCTTCGGTGGCGAAACATTGCATGCATGGGTCCATGATTTGATATAGCCCCCATATAACGGTACCTCCCGATATTCGGTATTTTGATGGTTTTTGCCACATTTTTTCACTGATTTGTCTAAAAATTGGTATTTGTGGGTCATAATGGGTTCCAGCTCCGGTGGCGAAACATTGTAATTATATGTCCACGTTTTGGTATAGCCCCCATATAACGGTACCTCCCCATAATCGGCATTTTAATGGTTTTTGCCACATTTCTTCTAATGTTTCTTTTACCCTAAGGTGGAGGGTATTAAAAGTTTGGCCCGGCCGAACTTAATGTTTTTTTACTTGTTTTCAAATGGAATCTTTTAAATTAATTACTTATCTTTATTTTGTCTGAGTTATCAAACCAAAAGCTATTATTTTATATTTACCTAAATTAAACTATGTGATAAGGATTCTAGTAAATACCATTTATGAATACTTTTGATCTTCTTTTCAATAAAATAATGATGCCTTCCGTCATGTAATTATTTCATAAGTCTGATTCCTTAGTGTAGTAAGGTAGAGGGCGTATTAAATGTAGGGAGTCACAGATAGAGTACAGTCTTAATTTGATATATCGAACTGTGATTCGGTTGGGAGGGTATAATGGACGCAAAACACCTGGTCGTCCTAATAAATCGAACTCGCCATAATGGAACCAATAAACTCTATACACTTTACGTAAAAATTGAGCACGTACTTTAAAATAATATCATGTAGCTGAAGGAATGACATGAAGCTTTGAACCCAACCCATTACGACGAGTAATAAGGCCGGAAGTCGACGTGCTCTTGCTTCTTTAAAAATGTCATTTAGCCCATCACCTTCCAAAAATGATAGTTATAGGCTACAATACACATGCATGTATATCAAGGTGGGCGGCAATGTATAAGTTAGATACTTTGCCCCTCAACTTCCCTTGCTCGATCAATCACGGATGCTGATTGGCGCACAGGCATCTCCTCTACAACTCCCCTGGCGGAGACCGTAGTGAGCGGATCTTCGCTGGGCATTGGTTGTTGTCGGTAACCTCACCTTGTTACACATGCTCTCATTGGAAGTAGTTGTATTAGTAGACAGACATGAGACCCTCAGCGGTCACCTAGAACCTCTGCGTTCACTTGTCTTTAGTCTTTGAACGAATACCCATCACGGCCACTGTCGCCAACACACACCATAGTTGAAAAGAGGTAACCTTATTGTTGAAAAAACACACATCAAAGCAATTCAATAAATCAGCAGACTTACTAAGAAAAGAAATTAATCCTATTTGTTTTATTTTTCTCATTGTTTCTTTTCCCCCATTACTCTACATAAACAATAGTAAATATTGAATAATACATTTGTTATTAAAATTAATATTAAATAACACAAATCGAGTGTTTGGAAAAATGTGTATGATAAATATTATATAGTGAATCATAAAGATCTTAATAAGAAGTGAGTGGCTGCTAGCAAAAATTGGTTTCGATAATATTTAAAATTAATTCCGCTTGTTTTTTTTTTTTTTTTTGAAATTCGTGAAATTTTTAAAAAAAAAAGCCTGTTCGTTTTTTTCTGATATTAATGAATAATCGCGATCTTGACCAAGAAGTAGAATTTATAATAGATTCCTTCAATCAAATTCCTGTAGACAAAAGATCTGACAATAATAATATAATGGCAACTTCCGCAGAAAGCATACGTGTGCTTGTTGACTCTGCCATTTCGGCGGCTTTGAAAGTTCAAAGACAGCAATTTGAAAAACAAATTTCCTATATTGGTAATAAACTTGAAAAATTCTCTTTATCGACTCCTGAAGTTGTGCCTTATAAGGATGTTGAAATTAACAAAGAAATTCGGTGTGATGAGTCCTTAGAGGTTGTAAAATCCTTACCAGACTTTGAAGGCAAGCATGAAACGTACGTTCCATGGCGCCAGGCTGCTCATACAGCTTATAAGTTGTTTGATCATTGTTTATGTAGAGTAATGGGGGAAAAGAAACAGAAATAAAACAAACAAATAGAATTAATTTCTTTTCATGCAAAATTTGCTGATTTATTGAATTGCTTTGATGTGTTTTTTCGACAATAAGTTTACCTCTTTTCAATATGGATTGTGGCGACAGTGGCCGTGTTGGGTATTCGTTCAAAGACTAAAGACAAGTGAACGCAGAGGTTCTAGGTGATCGCAGAGGATCCCATGTCTGTCTACTAATACAACTACAACTACTTCCAATGAGAGCATGTGTAACAAGGTGAGGTTACCGACAACAACCAATGCCCAGCGACGATCCGCTCACTACGGTCTCCGCCAGGGGAGTTGTAGAGGAGATGCCTGTGCGCCAATCAGCATCCGTGATTGATCGAGCAAGGGAAGTTGAGGGGCAAAGTATCTAACTTATACATTGCCGCCCACCTTGATATACATGCATGTGTATCAACTAAATAAAGCTCAAAGGAATTATGTTATATAAATATGTACAATAAGATTTACAAGGACGTAAGTTCAGTTTATATGTGAGCAATTTCATTTTATTAAATTCAATTCAATTCATTTTTTTCTTAACTAATAACAGTTAATTACATGTTGACGGGGCCCGAAATTACCCAACCAAACGAGGTATATTGCGCTGTAGGGAGACCAGGCTGTTGAATTATTCTCGGCTTAATGATTTTATAATAAATTTCTGGACCCAATACCATCGCTACTGGACCCGAACAATCAAACGATGGGTCCGCGAGTTCCAGACCAACGAAGGCTTCGCGTACTGATGATGAAATGGTCATCGGTGGTGTTACACCGCAAGTAATGTTTGCTACGCTGGCAGTAACAAATTGCCTTTGACCCGGGTCAAAACGGGAGGTAATCATAAAGTCGGCGTACGACATATGATTGACTTTGGTGGTGGGCCATCGAAGGTCATTTATTAGAGACGCACACACCTGACTGACTGGGCAGCAGGGGTCTAATAAAGCCCTAACTGGAACGGTAGAGTTAGGCAGACATATATTCACACGTAAGGTAGGGCTCAAGGAGAATACACGACTTATTGGTAGTACGGAAGTTGGTAATATGTGGGGTGGTGGTGTGGGAACGATACCTCGTGGAACTAACCATCTCGCCGAATTTTGTGTCCGGTTGGAGCTGTCCTCTTGGTGCTCATGCAAAATGGTGTGGTGCTTTTTCCCGCAATAATTACACCGTTTGGGAACCGGACAGAACTTTGAAACATGATCAAGACGCAGACAATTGTAACAATAACGATGACGGACGACCATACGCACACGTTTTTCCACAGTCATTTTTCTAAACACAAAGCATTTGTGTAATGGATGATGATGGGAACACAACCGACACTGAAACAACGCTCTTGACGACGACGATGCCATACGTGAAGGTGCTGAGCTAACCTTTGGCTCAAGGGCTGTTTGAGGTTGAGATGCTAGGGTTGTTTCAGCATTTGGGGGAGCTATCATCTGAGGATCAATCGGTTGAGTGGGTTGAACCTGGGGATCTATAGGTTTAGGGGTTTGAGTGGTGTCCGCAGTTTGAGGAACAGTCGCGGTAAACGCCTCCTTATTTGCCCTCAACTCCGCTTCTACTTCTCGATCAGACATCATCTCCTCGTCATAGTCGGACAAACAGACCTCAGGGAAAAGTTCTTGTTGGGATGCCATAACTAACACACAAAACGAAAGAGGACAACACGAAAGAGAGAGCAAACGACAGATATAAATTGGTAATACGACTAACTGGACGATTGGTCGCCTAACAATACTCTAAGAAGTTCGGACGTCTACAACGCGAACCTTACTATCATTACCAGGATGCGTCTCGAATAACTAAACAAACTCTTTCTTTAAACCTAGTGGAAAACTGATGCGTCAATGCCTTACGTTTTCTATACCGATTGACTAAACTCAATGGCGATTCTTCAACAAGGGGGCAAAGCAGGAAGGGGGGCACCTATGAGAAAGTTTGCGTTGAAGCGAATTTTCATTCAATAAAAATGGACTCATAACAGTAATTTGCGTTTGGGAACCTCCTCAAGTTCCCCAAAACGCAGAATGGTTTTATTGGGGCTGTCTTCCTCACTACAGCTCAAAGTAGTCGTAAAGACCTGCAAGGGTGAGGAGGGAATTGGACCCGAGAGGACCCAACCAAAGACGGTATTTTGCGCCAATAGAGAACCTAATATATTTTGTTGTACCCCAGGCAACAATATTTGCGGATATAAGTCTGCACCCAACAACATATCTACAGAACGACAGTCAAAAATGTTTGGGTCAGCCAACTGGAGATTTGGCAGAGAACGAACTAAAGCAGGGTCAACAGAAAAGGATGGAAGGTTACTAGAAATCTTGGGGAGAACAAAAACATCGGTTTTCAACAAAATTGAAGCACTCAAGCGAGAACTTATAGAAATTTCACAGTTTTTCCTAGAGGTAACGGAAGACGAACCATTTACACCAGAAATGGTTGCAAGAGTGGATCGAGACGATAACTTCAATCTATTTTGAAGGTTCTCAGTTATGAAACTAGCCTCAGACGCAGGGTCAATGAGGGCTCGAACAGGATAAGAATTTCCTTCGTGAACAATATTTACAATGGCGGTACCGAGAAGGACTCGAGAGTTATGCGATGTGTGAAACACTTGACGGTTTACTACAGTCGGATTGGCACCAGTGGATGTAGAGGCAACATTATCTAGAATAGAATTGGAAGCAGTTCTTGGGACTCGGACTGTGGGCGTCACATTTGAGGAGGAACTATTTGTAGGTGTCGAACGATTAGGTTTATGCATAAGCGTATGATGTTTTTCATGGCATACATAGCAGCTATGTGCACTGGGACAATTACTAACAGAATGACCTCTTGACAAACAATTGAAACACAAGCCATACTTTTTTACAACAGTAATTTTCCGATCGAAAGACATCTTTTTGAAACGATGACAAGAGTAGAGCGCATGATTTTGATTAGGGCATACAACACAACGATGTTTTGGATAAGATTTTACTGTATCAGGAGAAGTTTTCGCCACATGTACCTTAACGTTGCGTTTGTTTGGGGATTTTGATGAATCTATACCTTTTATGTCCCGCAAACAGGCAAGCGTCTGAATTCTCTCCGTAAGGAACGAATCGAGCTGAGCCCATGACGATAAGGAAGACTTATCTTTGAGACTCTGTTCCCAGAGTGTCACCGTAAGTTTTGGCAGACGCTGAATACAAATAAAAACTAAAATAGGATCCCAATGATCCGTGACAATGTCATAGACTGACATAGCAGATAAACAACCGTTTATGCCTCTCTGTAAAGTCTTAAGACCTGAACTCGTTTCATTAGCTAACGATGGAAGATCGAACAAAAGCTTTAAATGACTATTGACTAGAATTCTTTTGTTGTCATAAGCATCCTTAAGAGCCTTCCAAGCCAGAACAAAACTTTTATGTGTGAGTGGAAACTTCGACACAATTTCCCTAGCCTCACCTTGAGTTTTCTTAATCAAATGGCACAACCTCTCAATATCAGTTAATCGGGAATTATTTATAAACATTGCAGAAAATAGATCCCGGAACGTGGGCCACGACAAAAAATCTCCGTGGAAATCATCTATATCGCACGGCGGTAAGTTAAGATTATGCATGGTGTCGGAACCACAAGGCGGTAAACTCCAATTCGAAACTGAGATATCAGAAGTACTCTGAATATCTGGATAAGCCATATTGGATAAGGGCGGCAAACTATTATTCAGTACATTGTTTGGATTGGTAGTACCTGATTGTGAAGTATTCGACCTATTGCATGACCGCGCCACAGAAACCTGATTTTGGGCATTCTGGGGGGTACTAACACGAATTTCAGATGGTGTGGAAGGAGGTGTTTTCGCAGACCTTAGTTTCTGCAACATTTCAGTTATTTCCGACAAACATTCAACGTAGTTTTCTCTAGTGGACTGGTATTTCTCATCAGCAGAAGCAATTCCGTCTGAGGTAGTACCCTCAACGGTTATCAGATAATCGAGATACTTTTCGTAAGTATCCTTCACTTTGTACCACAAGTCCTGAAGTTCGGTGTTTCGAATTTCTAAATTGAAAACCGTGTGAGTTTCTGCCTTAATCAATTTAAAAGCAGCGGCAAATTTGACAACATTATCGGATGCCCGAATAAATTGAGTTAGTGGAGTGACCGACATGGTTTCAGAATTCGAATTCGACAAATACTAATCAAATATTCAGCTAAAATGAAGCACAATGACGCAAAGTCTTATTAAAAGCACCCAAATAAATGTATAACTGAAGAAAGTTTCAAAAGAAAAGGCGAAATATTTGAAAAATCCCAAAAGAAAACCAATTCGACGGAGAAAAGATTGAAAAACTTCCAAAAATTTACCAAAGAAATAGCAAAATATATCAGGAAATGCCAATAAAAGTGTATATAAATATCCAAATAATAATCAAAATATATTTAAATTGGCGATATTTATCAAAAATTCTGAAAAAGTTCGAAAAATAAGGAAAAATTATAAATTGTCGGTGTGTGCCGAGTGTAGGGTGCACGTATTTCCAAATGACAAATATTGATATGTACACGCGTACTAATAATTTTTTTTAAAATGAGCAAAACTTTTAAGAAAATTTCTAAAATATCTATATTTTCCTTGCACAAGAGCACAATAAAAAGTACATATAATATGCCGAATGTAGGGTGACAAAAATGAAAAAAGTCCAAAAACACTTTTTTATCAACAATTATCAAAACCAAAATAAAAATTATTTTTCAAAATTTTATTTTTTAAAATTCACAATTTTTCTACTTGAACCCACTGTGCAGTGGTGAATAACGAATACCGCACAAAGAAGAATAAAACACAAGCAGTGTTTGATGGTCGAACGGTGACGGGGGTGGGTTAACTACCACACTACAAGCTGACCAACGACAATGATCGCAACGGATATCGCACAAAAGAAAATAAGACACAAGCAGCGTCAGCAGAGCGCTCAGTGTGTGTGGGTAAGCAACTGCCTCGTTACGAACTAACCAACGACGACGAACCAACAGTGAGAGTTGGAGAAATAAATAAGTTGTTGTTTTTCAAAATTTTATTTTTTAAAATTCACAATTTTTCTACTTGAACCCACTGTGCAGTGGTGAATAACGAATACCGCACAAAGAAGAATAAAACACAAGCAGTGTTTGATGGTCGAACGGTGACGGGGGTGGGTTAACTACCACACTACAAGCTGACCAACGACAATGATCGCAACGGATATCGCACAAAAGAAAATAAGACACAAGCAGCGTCAGCAGAGCGCTCAGTGTGTGTGGGTAAGCAACTGCCTCGTTACGAACTAACCAACGACGACGAACCAACAGTGAGAGTTGGAGAAATAAATAAGTTGTTGTTATAGTTGTTGGTTAGTAGACTGACGCTAGAAAAAGGCGCTTGGAAGGGTATTATTGTTATTGCAATATTACAAACAGACCAACGAAAATGACCAAACAGTGTGTGTTGGGGCGAGGTACGGGGGGATTTAGCAAGTGTTGGTATGTTTGGATGTAAATTAGAAAAAGCGGCACTTGCAATGCGGTGATTTTATTCTCGTTCAGAGTAATAGAGAGATAGAAAACAGATCACTCGGCAATGCAGAAATGTGTGGGGGAATATTGCAATAACCAAACACAAAATTATGCACACTACAGCGGTAGATTATTTTTTAACAGAAATATATTTCTTTTTGATAAATGTGAATTATTAAACACAAACGGGAAATTCGATTATTTCGCGAGAAAATGGAAAATAATGCGAATAAGCCCCGATTTAAAGGAATATTTAATAGATTTTTTAGCAAAACAAAATTGTTGTGGACTGTAAATTTAAAGATACCGCAAATTAGGGTAAAACAAAGGCGACCAGTACCGCGAAGCAAACAAAAACTAACACTTTTCACTTATTTTTTTCAAAATAAATAGCACTCTAAGCTCACAATAACAAATTTCACTGAACTTACGTACCTTTTTTGAGGTTGATGATGATGAATAGGATGATGTTGATGCGGTGGTGCGATTAATGAGGGGGATGTGTGTTTTGAGTCGATTCCTTTGTAAAAGAGATAACAAAAACGGCAATTAATAATCAGGCAAACTTCTCAACTTGGCAAATCCGGCTCGAAGGACCAAAATGTTTATGTAGAGTAATGGGGGAAAAGAAACAGAAATAAAACAAACAAATAGAATTAATTTCTTTTCATGCAAAATTTGCTGATTTATTGAATTGCTTTGATGTGTTTTTTTCGACAATAAGTTTACCTCTTTTCAATATGGATTGTGGCGACAGTGGCCGTGTTGGGTATTCGTTCAAAGACTAAAGACAAGTGAACGCAGAGGTTCTAGGTGATCGCAGAGGATCCCATGTCTGTCTACTAATACAACTACAACTACTTCCAATGAGAGCATGTGTAACAAGGTGAGGTTACCGACAACAACCAATGCCCAGCGACGATCCGCTCACTACGGTCTCCGCCAGGGGAGTTGTAGAGGAGATGCCTGTGCGCCAATCAGCATCCGTGATTGATCGAGCAAGGGAAGTTGAGGGGCAAAGTATCTAACTTATACAATCATTACGATGGAAGTTCTAAACACTATCAGGCAGTAGCAATAATTCGAAATAAAATAAAGGGTCAAGCCGATATGGTGTTATCCTCATTCAATACAGTGTTAAATTTTAAGGCTATTATTGCCCGACTGGACTTTACTTATTCGGATAAGCGTCCAATTTACTTAATTGAGCAAGAGTTGTCCACTCTTCGTCAGGGTAATATGACGTTACTAGAACTAAATTCAAGCCATCTACACAGGGCTTACCTCAGAATCAATACGATCAAAATCAGAACCTACCACAGCCGTTCCAAAATCGACTAAATTGGCAGGCCGTGAAAAGACCCAACAGTGGTATGGCAAAATACACTGGGATAAAACATCAGAGAATTAATCACATTTCTCAAGATGAGTCCGGATGTGGTCAAGACTACCATCAAATGGCAGAAACCGAAGCAGACGATATTGTAATCGATGCTGGGGATGAATTTGACCAGATTATTTTTTTAGGACAACTCCCTGCTACCATTTATAGAAAGGAAAGTGGCAGGGAAAATCATAAAATTGCTTATTGATACGGGGGCTTCGAAGAATTATATCAAGCCTATAAAAGGTTTAAAAGGTATTATTCCCGTAGCCAACCCGTTAATAGTGAAATCTATTCATGGTTTCACAGCAATTAAAGAAAAATGTACCATAAATATTTTTCAAACGAATAGTAATTTTTTTATCTTACCATCACTATCAACGTTTGATGGTATAATTGGCCTGGATCTATTAACACAGACAAGTGCAACGTTGAATTTTGAAAGTAGGGAACTTAAAACTATAGTTGGGATCGAAAAGATCCAATTTTTAAAATGCGTAAATGTAAATTTTACACAAGTTGAGGACATGAAAATACCTCAAATCGTTGCGGAAAAATTTAAGGAAGTGATAAAAAAAATTTTCGGTTGTTTTTGCAAACTCCAAAGAATCACTTCCATATAATACGAATATTGTAGCTACCATTAGAATATTGTAGCTACTAATTCTGGTGATCCCGTTTATACAAAACTATACCCATATCCCATGGTATAGCAGATTTTGTTAACAATGAAGTAAAAGAACTTCTGCATAACGGCATAATACGGCCTTCCAGATCACCCTACAATAATACCGTTTGGGTTGTTGAAAAAAAAGGCAAGGATGAATATGGTAATTCCAAAAAACGTGTAGTTATAGACTTCAGGAAACTGAACAGTGGTCTCTGGACTTATAAGCATTATTTTAATCATCAGTCTTTATATTTCATTCAAATTGTGTCGAAGACGAACAGTAAAACGCGATGTTATTGAAGCTGTCATTGATAGCTACAAAAGACCCGAGGACGGCCCTTACTTAAGTAGGGGAGGAGTTAACACAATCTCCATTGTCCCACCCTAATACTTTGGTCAAACGATGGCGAACTATAATAATTGTTCGTCCAACATATTGCAATGTAACACTCCACACGAGGCACAGTGTCAGCAATTATATTCATCATCATTGCTTAGCCAACACCAAACATACGAGCATTTATTCAACGTATTGCAATATAATACTCCACAAAAAGGCGCAGAGTCAGCAGTAGAAAACAATAATTATAAGTTTATTCATAGCTTTAAGTATCTTAATAAGTTAGTTTGATAAGAGAACTGGAATAAAGAAGGTGTAACAACACCATACAAATACCCAAAATACTTAACTTATATACATTATGAGTCTACAACGAATATTTAAGGATGTAAAAACGGAATGACAAAGCTAATATACCCTCTTTTCAAAGGTGGAGGGTATAAAACGAAATTCACAAATAAACCAGAAAACGCATTTATTTTAAAACCCCAATTACACCCGCTGTGTTTATTTATTTTCTTTTTTCCCACAACGCCTCATCTATATATACAGGGTGTAAAGTAGTCACAGAGAACTCCTTGTGTAGAATTTCAGACAATTCCATTCAAAAATGTGACTTAAATCATCAAAATACCGAAAATCGTGGAGCACCATTGTATGGGGGCTATATGATATTGTGGACCTATATAGAAAACTAGCTGAACCTGGTGCGTTTCACGACCCCTTTTGATTTCATATGCATTCAAAATTTTATATACCAATATTTGTTGATTCAAGAAAAAAAAGCAAACTCAAACATTTAAAAAAAAAAAATTGTAAATATACAAATAGCTCGGTCTACCAACGTATGAACATGACAGGAACAGCTGACCATGAGAAAACATGACAGGAACGTGCCGAATTTGGTCCTCTTACATGAAGGGTTTGTGCTTCGGATTTATTAATTTCATTGCAAATACCAAGCGTGCAGAAACTGCAATATTTTGAAGTTGAGAGGCATTTCTACTGCAATTAAAGACTTCTATGTAGCAACATACTTCCCCGTATCCGCAACTAAATGGTTTTACAGTGTTTTACTGTTAGCCTAATACCATTCCATAGGCGTTGTGGGTCAATACTTCTTAATAAAATCATATCCCAATCTGATCCGATTTCAATATAATTTGACAAAATTTACTTTTATTTTTATTTATTTTCAATTAGTACAAAAACCTAGCCAACAGGGCCATGGACGGTTCAAAAAACTTCTATACATGACTACTCTAAATTAATTATAATATCCTTAATCCTAAAAGAATTACTTAAAATTAAACACTAAAACAAATTAACAAAAAATGAATAAAATTAACAATTGATTGATGGTTCCAAGAACTCCTATACATGACTACATCAAGTTCCGTCACACCTTCCATATTTCATGGAAACTGGTGCGTCAAATAAGTGAAATCGGACGAAAAAATATACATTCTATATCCAAATCTTAACCGATTTCCAATTAACTTGTTAAATTTATTTTTGTTACCAAATTCCGCCACACATTCAGAATTTCATTGGAATCAGTCATATACATCGTGTTTGGTGCATAACTCACATAAAATCGGCCGAAATATATATATGGGAGATATACCCAAACCTCAATCGATTTCAATATAATTTGGATTTTTTTTTTTTTTTGGTACCAAATTTCGTCTCTCTCTCCGAATTTCATTGGAATCGAACATACATATTACATTGGGTGAATCAAGTATGTAAAATCTTCCGAATATGTATATGGAATAATTCAAATGTGAACCGGCTTAAATATAATTTGACAAATTTATTTTTGTACCAAATTCAATCGATCATACCGAATTTCATTGGAATCGGACATACGTATCGTGTTTGGTGCATCAATTATGTGAAATTGGCCGAAAATATATATGGGAGCTATATCCAAATCTGAACCGATTTAAATATAATTTTTCAAGATTATTTTCCAGTCAAATCCCGTCACTCACTCCAAATTTCATTAAAATAGAACATACATATTGTGTTTGGAGCATCATATAAACGCTATATGTCGGTAATATATGAAGGAGCAACATCCAACTCTGAACCGATTTCAATGTAATTTGATGAATTTTTTGTCTAATAAAATTCCTTTACACATTTAAAATTGCATTGGAATTGAACATATATATCATGTTTGTTGCATCAAATAAACAAAATCGGTCGAAAATATATATTGGAGGAATATTCAAATCTGAACCGATTAAAATTTCATTGGAATTGAACATATATATCATGTTTGTTGCCTCAAATAAACAAAATCGGTCGAAAATATATTCTGAACCGATTTCAATATAATTGGGCAATTGTATGATCGTTTTAGATCCCGTTACACATTCAAAATTTCATTGAAATTAGAGATACATTGCGTGTTTGGTGCAACAATTTTATTTTTGTTCCGAATCCCATTACGAATTACAAACTTGGAGACGGTATGGGGGCTATATGATATCGTGGACCGATATAGTCCGTCTTCGAACTTGACCTGTCTGCAGGCAAAAAACAGATTGGTGCAAAATTTTACCTTCCAATATTTATTCGCATCGACTCTTGTGTGATTACAGCAGACGGACAGGTCTAAATCTTCTTAGAATTAAACGCTGATCAAGAAAATATATTCTTTGTTGGGTTGGGTTGGGTTATTATATCCATGAGAAAAGAACAGAATAACCAACTTAATATACCCTCCAAACTATGTATGGTGGATGGTATAAAAACAGTTAACAAAGGTCTAATTCGGGTAGGACTGACTATATACCCTATACCACGATAAATATTTAGTAGAGCAACCTGTAAGGTATTAATCTTTACAGAAGTACATCATTACAACTATGAAGCTATTTTGAATGAGCTATTTGTATGAGTATAATGGTTTTAGAAGAGTTATAATTTGACATCCGAGGGAACAAATACATGGAAGATATACCCAACCCTGAAAAGATTTCCACAATTTGACGGAAGCATTTGTATATCTCATACAAACTAACATTGCTATAGAGTGTTTAATATGACTCCGAGAAGGCTTCATAAAAGCCAATAAAGAAAGTCCTAAAGTCGAGTGGACCGACTTTATTATACTCTAGAGCTTTTCGCATATTTAGTAAAGTTTTATATAACAAAACAAGTTTTGGTGGGTAATTTGTGAGAATTGAAACGTACCAACTATTATTATAGGTATAATTTAAAGTTCAAAGGAGCTAAAATATAAGAGGATTATCCTCCTCTGGATAGATTTCTACTAAATTTGCGAGGTATTTGTGCGTTTTCAATTCGGGCTTTCGCACAATTAACTTGAAATCGAAATCGGATAAAGATATATATGGGAGCTATATTCAAATCAGAACCGATCTCGATAAAATTTGGCAAAGGTATTTCTGAGCTAAATTTTATGTACTTCCCCGAATATCGTTGTTACGGAGTGCATTTTACGGCTGTAGAAAAGAAATACAACAAATCGGATGAACAATATATATCTGAAACGATTCTCACAAAATTTGACATGTTTGTTTCTATACTCAATTTGGTAGCAAGTGCCAAATTTCATAACATTTGGGCTAATATTTAACGTTTGGTGTACAATAAGAGGCAAATCGG